CTCGCCCATGCCCCCACAGGATTTCAAGTCGATGATTCTCCAGCCGCACCACGACAGCTGCCACCTCGCTACATACTATGCTTGCAACGCCGCACATAATCGAGCTCCTACGGTGATTTGAACCCGGATCGCTGGGATTCATAGTCAAGAGTGCTCACCATTCCATCATAAGAGCACCTAGTCCAGACACACCACGCCCGATCCGGAACCCGCTCGAATCGCACGCAATCCACGTATTTACGGACATGCCCCATGTGCTGCACATACCCCTTTCACATATCATCGTGCTCCTACACTTACGTCCATGCTCGCATGCTTCTTTCGCCACCCGGCTTGCTCCAATCCCCGCCTCGAACCATTCGGTTGCTACTCGCTTTGACGTCGCATTTCTTCGTGTTTTGGATATCCACTGGATCTATTGTTCTCGCGGAAGGCAGCGATGAGCCCTCTGGCTGTCTTGGAGAATTGGTAGTGAGCGAAGTCGGCAGTTAGGCTTGGTGAGCTCTGCCAGAGCAGCAGCTACCACTGAAATCGGCAGCGGATCGCCGGGACACGATACAACACACCACGGCAACACAGCGTGACGCGGCTATAGCGTGTGGCAGGTGCGCAGCGCAGCAACAACTGGGGCGTTGTGGGGCCGGTAGGAGCGGTGCAAAACGAGGTCCTACCGGGATTTGAACCCGGATCGCTGGATTCAGAGTCCAGAGTGCTAACCATTACACCATAAGACCAGCACTAACTCGCCAATCCGCAAACAGAATTCCAAACGCGATTCTCCAGCCCCACACGACAGCTGGCGCCATCGCTACATACTATGCTTGCAACGCCGCACAAAATCAAGCTCCTACCGGGATTTGAACCCGGATCACTGGATTCAAAGTCCAGAGTGCTAACCATTACACCATAAGAGCACCCAGCCCAGACACACCACGCCCGATCCGGAACCCGCTCGAATCGCACGCAATCCACGTATTTACGGACATGCCCCATGTGCTGCACATACCCCTTTCACATATCATCGTGCTCCTACACTTACGTCCATGCTCGCATGCTTCTTTCGCCACCCGGCGTGCTCCAATCCCCGCCTCGAACCATTCGGTTGCTACTCGCTTTGACGTCGCATTTCTTCGTGTTTTGGATATCCACGGGATCTATTGTTCTCGCGGAAGGCAGCGATGAGCCCTCTGGCTGTCTTGGAGAATTGGTAGTGAGCGAAGTCGGCAGTTAGGCTTGGTGAGCTCTGCCAGAGCAGCAGCTACCACTGAAATCGGCAGCGGATCGCCGGGACACGATACAACACACCACGGCAACACAGCGTGACGCGGCTATAGCCTGTGGCAGGTGCGCAGCGCAGCAGCAACTGGGGCGTTGTGGGGCCGGTAGGAGCGGAGCAAAACGAGATCCTGGCGCGATGTGATCCCGGATCGCTGGGTTCAGAGTCCAGAGTGCTAACCATTACACCATAAGACCAGCACTAGCTCGCCAATCCGCAGACAGAATTTCAAACGAGAATCTCTAGCGCCACACGAAAGCTGGAGGCATCGCTACATACTATGCATGCAACGCCGCACCAAAACGAGGTCCTACCGGGATTTGAACCCGGATCGCTGGATTCAGAGTCCAGAGTGCTAACCATTACACCATAAGACCAGCACTAACTCGCCAATCCGCAAACAGAATTTCAAAACGAGATTCTCCAGCCCCACACGACAGCTGGCGCCATCGCTACATACTATGCTTGCAACGCCGCACAAAATCAAGCTCCTACCGGGATTTGAACCCGGATCGCTGGATTCAAAGTCCAGAGTGCTAACCATTACACCATAAGAGCACCTAGCCCAGACATACCACGCCCGATCCGGAACCCGCTCGAATCGCACGCAATCCACGTATTTACGGACATGCCCCATGTGCTGCACATACCCCTTTCACATATCATCGTGCTCCTACACTTACGTCCATGCTCGCATGCTTCTTTCGCCACCCGGCTTGCTTCAATCCCCGCCTCAAACCATCCGGTTGCTACTCGCTTTGACGTCGCATTTCTTCGTGTTTTGGATATCCACGGGGTCTATTGTTCTCGCGGAAGGCAGCGATGAGCCCTCTGGCTGTCTTGGAGAATTGGTAGTGAGCGAAGTCGGCAGTTAGGCTTGGTGAGCTCTGCCAGAGCAGCAGCTACCACTTAAATCGGCAGCGGATCGCCGGGACACGATACAACACACCACGGCAACACAACGTGACGCGGCTATAGCGTGTGGCAGGTGCGCAGCGCAGCAACAACTGGGGCGTTGTGGGGCCGGTAGGAGCGGTGCAAAACGAGGTCCTACCGGGATTTGAACCCGGATCGCTGGATTCAGAGTCCAGAGTGCTAGCCATTACACCATAAGACCAGCACTAGCTCACCAATCCGCAAACAAAATTTCAAACGCTTTCCTAAAGCCCCACACGACAGCTGGCGCCATCGCTACATACTATGCTTGCAACGCCGCACAAAATCAAGCTCCTACCGGGATTTGAACCCGGATCGCTGGATTCAAAGTCCAGAGTGCTAACCATTACACCATAAGAGCACCTAGCCCAGACACACCACGCCCAATCCGGAACCCGCTCGAATCGCACGCAATTCACGTATTCACGGACATGCCACATGTGCTGCACATACCCCTTTCACATATCATCGTGCTCCTACACTTACGGCCATGCTCGCATGCTTCTTTCGCCACCAGGCTTGCTTCAATCCCCGCCTCGAGCCATCCGGTTGCTACTCGCTTTGACGTCGCATTTCTTCGTGTTTTGGATATCCACGGGGTCTATTGTTCTCGCGGAAGGCTGCGATGAACCCTCTGGCTGTCTTGGAGAATTGGTAGTGCAGTCAGCGAAGTCGGCAGTTAAGCATGGTGAGCTCTGCCAGAGCAGCAGCTACCACATAAATCGGCAGCGGATCGCCGGGACACGATACAACACACCACGGCAACACAACGTGACGCAGCTGTAGCGTGTGGTAGGTGCGCAGCGCAGCAACAACTGGGGCGTTGTGGGGCCGGTAGGAGCGGTGCAAAACGAGGTCCTACCGGGATTTGAACCCGGATCGCTGGATTCAGAGTCCAGAGTGCTAACCATTACACCATAAGACCAGCACTAACTCGCCAATCCGCAAACAAAATTTCAAACGCTTTCCTAAAGCCCCACACGACAGCTGGCGCCATCGCTACATTCTATGCTTGCAACGCCGCACAAAATCAAGCTCCTACCGGGATTTGAACCCGGATCGCTGGATTCAGAGTACAGAGTGCTAACCATTACACCATAAGAGCACCTAGTTCAGACACAACACGCCCAATCCGCAACCCGCTCGAATCGCACGCAATTCACGTATTCATGGACATGCCACATGTGCTGCACATACCCCTTTCACATATCGTCGTGCTCCTACACTTACGTCCATGCTCGCATGCTTCTTTCGCCACCCGGCGTGCTTCAATCCCCACCTCGAACCATTCGGTTGCAACTCGCTTTGGCGTCGCATTTCTTCGTGTTTTGGATATCCACGGGATCTATTGCTCTCGCGGAAGGCAGCGATGAGCCCTCTGGCTGTCTTGGAGAATTGGTAGTGAGCGAAGTCGGCAGTTAGGCTTGGTGAGCTCTGCCAGAGCAGCAGCTTCCACTTAAATCGGCAGCGGATCGCCGGGACACGATACAACACACCACGGCAACACAGCGTGACGCGGCTATAGCGTGTGGCAGGTGCGCAGCGCAGCAACAACTGGGGCGTTGTGGGGCCGGTAGGAGCGGTGCAAAACGAGGTCCTACCGGGATTTGAACCCGGATCGCTGGATTCAGAGTCCAGAGTGCTAACCATTACACCATAAGACCAGCACTAACTCGCCAATCCGCAAACAGAATTTCAAAACGAGATTCTCCAGCCCCACACGACAGCTGGCGCCATCGCTACATACTATGCTTGCAACGCCGCACAAAATCAAGCTCCTACCGGGATTTGAGCCCGGATCGCTGGATTCAAAGTCCAGAGTGCTAACCATTACACCATAAGAGCACCCAGCCCAGACACACCACGCCCGATCCGGAACCCGCTCGAATCGCACGCAATCCACGTATTTACGGACATGCCCCATGTGCTGCACATACCCCTTTCACATATCATCGTGCTCCTACACTTACGTCCATGCTCGCATGCTTCTTTCGCCACCCGGCTTGCTCCAATCCCCGCCTCGAACCATTCGGTTGCTACTCGCTTTGACGTCGCATTTCTTCGTGTTTTGGATATCCACGGGATCTATTGTTCTCGCGGAAGGCAGCGATGAGCCCTCTGGCTGTCTTGAAGAATCGGTAGTGAGCGAAGTCGGCAGTTAGGCTTGGTGAGCTCTGCCAGAGCAGCAGCTTCCACTTAAATCGGCAGCGGATCGCCGGGACACGATACAACACACCACGGCAACACAGCGTGACGCGGCTATAGCGTGTGGCAGGTGCGCAGCGCAGCAACAACTGGGGCGTTGTGGGGCCGGTAGGAGCGGTGCAAAACGAGGTCCTACCGGGATTTGAACCCGGATCGCTGGATTCAGAGTCCAGAGTGCTAACCATTACACCATAAGACCAGCACTAACTCGCCAATCCGCAAACAGAATTTCAAACGAGATTCTCCAGCCCCACACGACAGCTGGCGCCATCGCTACATACTATGCTTGCAACGCCGCACAAAATCAAGCTCCTACCGGGATTTGAACCCGGATCGCAGGATTCAAAGTCCAGAGTCGCTAACATTACACCATAAGAGCACCCAGTCCAGACACACCACGCCCGATCCGGAACCCGCTCGAATCGCACGCAATTCACGTATTTACGGACATGCCCCATGTGCTGCACATACCCCTTTCACATATCATCGTGCTCCTACACTTACGTCCATGCTCGCATGCTTCTTTCGCCACCCCGCTTGCTCCAATCCCCGCCTCGGACCATTCGGTTGCTACTCGCTTTGACGTCGCATTTCTTCGTGTTTTGGATATCCACGGGATCTATTGTTCTCGCGGAAGGCAGCGATGAGCCCTCTGGCTGTCTTGAAGAATCGGTAGTGAGCGAAGTCGGCAGTTAGGCTTGGTGAGCTCTGCCAGAGCAGCAGCTTCCACTTAAATCGGCAGCGGATCGCCGGGACACGATACAACACACCACGGCAACACAGCGTGACGCGGCTATAGCGTGTGGCAGGTGCGCAGCGCAGCAACAACTGGGGCGTTGTGGGGCCGGTAGGAGCGGTGCAAAACGAGGTCCTACCGGGATTGGAACCCGGATCGCTGGATTCAGAGTCCAGAGTGCTAACCATTACACCATAAGACCAGCACTAACTCGCCAATCCGCAAACAGAATTTCAAAACGCGATTCTCCAGCCCCACACGACAGCTGGCGCCATCGCTACATACTATGCTTGCAACGCCGCACGAAATCAAGCTCCTACCGGGATTTGAACCCGGATCGCTGGATTCAAAGTCCAGAGTGCTAACCATTACACCATAAGAGCACCTAGCCCAGACATACCACGCCCGATCCGGAACCCGCTCGAATCGCACGCAATCCACGTATTTACGGACATGCCCCATGTGCTGCACATACCCCTTTCACATATCATCGTGCTCCTACACTTACGTCCATGCTCGCATGCTTCTTTCGCCACCCGGCTTGCTCCAATCCCCGCCATTCGGTTGCTACTCGCTTTGACGTCGCATTTCTTCGTGTTTTGGATATCCACGGGATCTATTGCTCTCGCGGAAGGCAGCGATGAGCCCTCTGGCTGTCTTGGAGAATTGGTAGTGAGCGAAGTCGGCAGTTAGGCTTGGTGAGCTCTGCCAGAGCAGCAGCTACCACTTAAATCGGCAGCGGATCGCCGGGACACGATACAACACACCACGGCAACACAGCGTGACGCGGCTATAGCGTGTGGCAGGTGCGCAGCGCAGCAACAACTGGGGCGTTGTGGGGCCGGTAGGAGCGGTGCAAAACAAGGTCCTACCGGGATTTGAACCCGGATCGCTGGATTCAAAGTCCAGAGTGCTAACCATTACACCATAAGAGCACCCAGCTCAGGCACACCACGCCCAATTCGCAACCCGCTCGAATCGCACGCGATTTACGTATTTACGGACATGCCCCATGTGCTGCACATACCCCTTTCACATATCATCGTGCTCCTACACTTACGTCCGTGCTCGCATGGTTCTTTCGCCACCCGGCTTGCTCCAATCCCCGCCTCGAACCATTCGGTTGCTACTCGCTTTGACGTCGCATTTCTTCGTGTTTTGGATATCCACGGGATCTATTGTTCTCGCGGAAGGCAGCGATGAGCCCTCTGGCTGTCTTGGAGAATTGGTAGTGCGGTCAGCGAAGTCGGCAGTTAGGCTTGGTGAGCTCTGCCAGAGCAGCAGCTACCACTGAAATCGGCAGCGGATCGCCGGGACACGATACAACACACCACGGCAACACAGCGTGACGCGGCTATAGCGTGTGGCAGGTGCGCAGCGCAGCAACAACTGGGGCGTTGTGGGGCCGGTAGGAGCTGTGCAAAACGAGGTCCTACCGGGATTTGAACCCGGATCGCTGGATTCAGAGTCCAGAGTGCTAACCATTACACCATAAGACCAGCACTAACTCGCCAATCCGCAAACAGAATTTCAAACGAGATTCTCCAGCCCCACACGACAGCTGGCGCCATCGCTACATACTATGCTTGCAACGCCGCACAAAATCAAGCTCCTACCGGGATTTGAACCCGGATCGCTGGATTCAAAGTCCAGAGTGCTAACCATTACACCATAAGAGCACCTAGCCCAGACACACCACGCCCGATCGCGAATCCGCTCGAATCGCACGCAATACACGTATTTACGGACATGCCCAATGTGCTGCACATACCCCTTTCACATATCATCGTGCTCCTACACTTACGTCCATGCTCGCATGCTTCTTTCGCCACCCGGCGTGCTTCAATCCCCAACTCGAACCATCCGGCTGCTACTCGCTTTGACGTCGCATTTCTTCGTGTTTGGATATCCACGGGATCTATTGTTCTCGCGGAAGGCTGCAATGAGCTCTCTGGCTATCCTGGAGAGTTGGTAGTGAGCGAAGTCGGCAGTTAGGCTTGGTGAGCTCTGCCAGAGCAGCAGCTACCACATAAATCGGCAGCGGATCGCCGGGACACGATACAACACACCACGGCAACACAACGTGACGCAGCTGTAGCGTGTGGCAGGTGCGTAGCGCAGCAACAACTGGGGCGTTGTGGGGCCGGTAGGAGCGGTGCAAAACGAGGTCCTACCGGGATTTGAACCCGGATCGCTGGATTCAGAGTCCAGAGTGCTAACCATTACACCATAAGACCAGCACTTACTCGCCAATCCGCAAACAGAATTTCAAACGCGATTCTCCAGCCCCACACGACAGCTGGCGCCATCGCTACATACTATGCTTGCAGCGCCGCACGAAAGCAAGCTCCTACCGGGATTTGAACCCGGATCGCTGGATTCAAAGTCCAGAGTGCTAACCATTACACCATAAGAGCACCTAGCCCAGACACACCACGCCCGATCCGGAACCCGCTCGAATCGCACGCAATCCACGTATTTACGGACATGCCCCATGTGCTGCACATACCCCTTTCACATATCATCGTGCTCCTACACTTACGTCCATGCTCGCATGCTTCTTTCGCCACCCGGCGTGCTTCAATCCCCAACTCGAACCATCCGGCTGCTACTCGCTTTGACGTCGCATTTCTTCGTGTTTGGATATCCACGGGATCTATTGTTCTCGCGGAAGGCTGCAATGAGCTCTCTGGCTATCCTGGAGAGTTGGTAGTGAGCGAAGTCGGCAGTTAGGCTTGGTGAGCTCTGCCAGAGCAGCAGCTACCACATAAATCGGCAGCGGATCGCCGGGACACGATACAACACACCACGGCAACACAACGTGACGCAGCTGTAGCGTGTGGCAGGTGCGTAGCGCAGCAACAACTGGGGCGTTGTGGGGCCGGTAGGAGCGGTGCAAAACGAGGTCCTACCGGGATTTGAACCCGGATCGCTGGATTCAGAGTCCAGAGTGCTAACCATTACACCATAAGACCAGCACTAACTCGCCAATCCGCAAACAGAATTTCAAACGCGATTCTCCAGCCCCACACGACAGCTGGCGCCATCGCTACATACTATGCTTGCAGCGCCGCACAAAATCAAGCTCCCTACCGGGATTTGAACCCGGATCGCTGGATTCAAAGTCCAGAGTGCTAACCATTACACCATAAGAGCACCTAGTCCAGACACACCACGTCCGATCGGGAACCCGCTCGAATCGCACGCAATCCACGTATTTACGGACATGCCCCATGTGCTGCACATACCCCTTTCACATATCATCGTGCTCCTACACTTACGTCCATGCTCGCATGCTTCTTTCGCCACCCAGCGTGCTTCAATCCCCACCCCAAGCCATCCGGTTGCTACTCGCTTTGACGTCGCATTTCTTCGTGTTTTGGATATCCACGGGATCTATTGTTCTCGCGGAAGGCAGCGATGAGCCCTCTGGCTATCCTGGAGAGTTGGTAGTGAGCGAAGTCGGCAGTTAGGCTTGGTGGGCTCTGCCAGAGCAGCAGCTACCACTTAAATCGGCAGCGGATCGCCGGGACACGATACAACACACCACGGCAACACAACGTGACGCGGCTATAGCGTGTGGCAGGTGCGTAGCGCAGCAACAACTGGGGCGTTGTGGGGCCGGTAGGAGCGGTGCAAAACGAGGTCCTACCGGGATTTGAACCCGGATCGCTGGATTCAGAGTCCAGAGTGCTAACCATCACACCATAAGACCAGCACTAACTCGCCAATCCGCAAACAGAATTTCAAACGCGATTCTCCAGCCCCACACGACAGCTGGCGCCATCGCTACATACTATGCTTGCAGCGCCGCACGAAATCAAGCTCCTACCGGTATTTGAACCCGGATCGCTGGATTCAAAGTCCAGAGTGCTAACCATTACACCATAAGAGCACCTAGCCCAGACACACCACGCCCGATCCGGAACCCGCTCGAATCGCACGCAATTCACGTATTTACGGACATGCCCCATGTGCTGCACATACCCCTTTCACATATCATCGTGCTCCTACACTTACGTCCATGCTCGCATGCTTCTTTCGCCACCCAGCGTGCTTCAATCCCCACCTCGAACCATCCGGTTGCTACTCGCTTTGACGTCGCATTTCTTCGTGTTTTGGATATCCACGGGATCTATTGTTCTCGCGGAAGGCAGCGATGAGCCCTCTGGCTGTCTTGGAGAATTATTAGTGCAGTCAGCGAAGTCGGCAGTTAGGCTTGGTGAGCTCTGCCAGAACCTCATATATCACTTGAATGGGGAGCGGAGCGACGCGACACGATACGCCAACGCAGCGTGACGCGACTAGACCGTGTGGTGTGGGCGGAGCGCAGCAACAACTGGGGCGTTGTGGGGCCGGTAGGAGCGGTGCAAAACGAGGTCCTACCGGGATTTGAACCCGGATCGCTGGATTCAAAGTCCAGAGTGCTAACCATTACACCATAAGAGCACCCAGTCCAGACACACCACGCCCGATCCGGAACCCGCTCGAATTGCACGCAATCCACGTATTTACGGACATGCCCCATGTGCTGCACATACCCCTTTCACATATCATCGTGCTCCTACACTTACGTCCACGCTTGCATGCTTCTTTCGCCACCCTGCGTGCTTCAATCCCCACCTCGAACCATCCGGTTGCTACTCGCTTTGACGTCGCATTTCTTCGTGTTTTGGATATCCACGGGATCTATTGTTCTCGCGGAAGGCAGCGATGAGCCCTCTGGCTGTCTTGGAGAATTGGTAGTGAGCGAAGTCGGCAGTTAGGCTTGGTGAGCTCTGCCAGAGCAGCAGCTACCACTGAAATCGGCAGCGGATCGCCGGGACACGATACAACACACCACGGCAACACAGCGTGACGCGGCTATAGCGTGTGGCAGGTGCGCAGCGCAGCAACAACTGGGGCGTTGTGGGGCCGGTAGGAGCGGTGCAAAACGAGGTCCTACCGGGATTTGAACCCGGATCGCTGGATTCAGAGTCCAGAGTGCTAACCATTACACCATAAGACCAGCACTAACTCGCCAATCCGCAAACAGAATTTCAAACGCAATTCTCCAGTCCCACACGACAGCTGGCGCCATCGCTACATACTATGCTTGCAACGCCGCACAAAATCAAGCTCCTACCGGGATTTGAACCCGGATCGCTGGATTCAAAGTCCAGAGTGCTAACCATTACACCATAAGAGCACCCAGTCCAGACACACCACGCCCGATCCGGAACCCGCTCGAATCGCACGCAATTCACGTATTTACGGACATGCCCCATGTGCTGCACATACCCCTTTCACATATCATCGTGCTCCTACACTTACGTCCATGCTCGCATGCTTCTTTCGCCACCCGGCGTGCTTCAATCCCCACCTCGAACCATCCGGCTGCTACTCGCTTTGACGTCGCATTTCTTCGTGTTTTGGATATCCACGGGATCTTTTGTTCTCGCGGAAGGCAGCGATGAGCCCTCTGGCTGTCTTGGAGAATTGGTAGTGCGGTCAGCGAAGTCGGCAGTTAGGCTTGGTGAGCTCTGCCAGAGCAGCAGCTACCACTTAAATCGGCAGCGGATCGCCAAGACACGATACAACACACCACGGCAACACAACGTGACGCAGCTGTAGCGTGTGGCAGGTGCGTAGCGCAGCAACAACTGGGGCGTTGTGGGGCCGGTAGGGAGCGGTGCAAAACGAGGTCCTACCGGGATTTGAACCCGGATCGCTGGATTCAGAGTCCAGAGTGCTAAACCATTACACCATAAGACCAGCACTTACTCGCCAATCCGCAAACAGAATTTCAAACGCGATTCTCCAGCCCCACACGACAGCTGGCGCCATCGCTACTATACTATGCTTGCAGCGCCGCACAAAATCAAGCTCCTACTGGCATTTGAGCCCGGATCGCTGGATTCAAAGTCCAGAGTGCTAACCATAACACCATAAGAGCACCTAGCCCAGACACACCACGCCCGATCCGGAACCCGCTCGAATCGCACGCAATCCACGTATTTACGGACATGCCCCATGTGCTGCACATACCCCTTTCACATATCATCGTGCTCCTACACTTACGTCCATGCTCGCATGCTTCTTTCGCCACCCGGCTTGCTCCAATCCCCGCCTCGAACCATTCGGTTGCTACTCGCTTTGACGTCGCATTTCTTCGTGTTTTGGATATCCACGGGATCTATTGCTCTCGCGGAAGGCAGCGATGAGCCCTCTGGCTGTCTTGGAGAATTGGTATTGAGCGAAGTCAGCAGTGAGGCTTGGTGAGCTCTGCCAGAGCAGCAGCTTCCACTGAAATCGGCAGCGGATCGCCGGGACACGATACAACACAACACGGCAACACAGCGTGACGCGGCTATAGCGTGTGGCAGGTGCGCAGCGCAGCAACAACTGGGGCGTTGTGGGGCCGGTAGGAGCGGTGCAAAACGAGGTCCTACCGGGATTTGAACCCGGATCGCTGGATTCAGAGTCCAGAGTGCTAACCATTACACCATAAGACCAGCACTAACTCGCCAATCCGCAAACAGAATTTCAAAACGAGATTCTCCAGCTCCACACGACAGCTGGCGCCATCGCTACATACTATGCTTGCAACGCCGCACAAAATCAAGCTCCTACCGGGATTAGAACCCGGATCGCTGGATTCAAAGTCCAGAGTGCTAACAATTACACCATAAGATCACCTAGCCCAGACACACCACGCCCGATCCGGAACCCGCTCGAATCGCACGCAATCCACGTATTTACGGACATGCCCCATGTGCTGCACATACCCCTTTCACATATCATTCGTGCTGCTACACTTACGTCCACGCTCGCATGCTTCTTTCGCCACCCGGCTTGCTCCAATCCCCCGCCTCGAACCATCCGGTTGCTACTCGCTTTGACGTGGCATTTTCTTCGTGTTTTGGATATCCCACTGCATCTATTGTTCTCGCGGAAGGCAGCGATGAGCCCTCTGGCTGTCTTGGAGAATTGGTAGTGCGGTCAGCGAAGTCGGCAGTTAGGCTTGGTGAGCTCTGCCAGAGCAGCAGCTACCACTGAAATCGGCAGCGGATCGCCGGGACACGATACAACACACCACGGCAACACAGCGTGACGCGGCTATAGCGTGTGGCAGGTGCGCAGCGCAGAACTAACAAGTTGGAGAGCGTTGTGGGGCCGGTAGGAGCGGTGCAAAACGAGGTCCTACCGGGATTTGAACCCGGATCGCTGGATTCAGAGTCCAGAGTGCTAACCATTACACCATAAGACCAGCACTAACTCGCCAATCCGCAAACAGAATTTCAAAACGAGATTCTCCAGCCCCACACGACAGCTGGCGCCATCGCTACATACTATGCTTGCAACGCCGCACAAAATCAAGCTCCTACCGGGATTTGAACCCGGATCGCTGGATTCAAAGTCCAGAGTGCTAACCATTACACCATAAGAGCACCCAGTCCAGACACACCACGCCCGATCCGGAACCCGCTCGAATCGCACGCAATCCACGTATTTACGGACATGCCCCATGTGCTGCACATACCCCTTTCACATATCATCGTGCTCCTACACTTACGTCCATGCTCGCATGCTTCTTTCGCCACCCGGCTTGCTCCAATCCCCGCCTCGAACCATTCGGTTGCTACTCGCTTTGACGTCGCATTTCTTCGTGTTTTGGATATCCACGGGATCTTTTGTTCTCGCGGAAGGCAGCGATGAGCCCTCTGGCTGTCTTGGAGAATTGGTAGTGAGCGAAGTCGGCAGTTAGGCTTGGTGAGCTCTGCCAGAGCAGCAGCTACCACTTAAATCGGCAGCGGATCGCCGGGACACGATACAACACACCACGGCAACACAACGTGACGCAGCTGTAGCGTGTGGCAGGTGCGTAGCGCAGCAACAACTGGGGCGTTGTGGGGCCGGTAGGAGCGGTGCAAAACGAGGTCCTACCGGGATTTGAACCCGGATCGCTGGATTCAGAGTCCAGAGTGCTAACCAGTACACCATAAGACCAGCACTAACTCGCCAATCCGCAAACAGAATTTCAAACGCGATTCTCCAGCCCCACACGACAGCTGGCGCCATCGCTACATACTATGCTTGCAGCGCCGCACAAAATCAAGCTCCTACCGGTATTTGAACCCGGATCGCTGGATTCAAAGTCCAGAGTGCTAACCATTACACCATAAGAGCACCCAGTCCAGACACACCACGCCCGATCCGGAACCCGCTCGAATCGCACGCAATCCACGTATTTACGGACATGCCCCATGTGCTGCACATACCCCTTTCACATATCATCGTGCTCCTACACTTACGTCCATGCTCCCATGCTTCTTTCGCCACCCGGCTTGCTCCAATCCCCGCCTCGAACCATTCGGTTGCTACTCGCTTTGACGTCGCATTTCTTCGTGTTTTGGATATCCACGGGATCTATTGTTCTCGCGGAAGGCAGCGATGAGCCCTCTGGCTTTCTTGAAGAATCGGTAGTGAGCGAAGTCGGCAGTTAGGCTTGGTGAGCTCTGCCAAAGCAGCAGCTTCCACTTAAATCGGCAGCGGATCGCCGGGGCACGATACAACACACCACGGCAACACAGCGTGATGCGGCTATAGCGTGTGGCAGGTGCGCAGCCTGGGGCGTTGTGGGGCCGGTAGGAGCGGTGCAAAACGAGGTCCTACCGGGATTTGAACCCGGATCGCTGGATTCAGAGTCCAGAGTGCTAACCATTACACCATAAGACCAGCACTAACTCGCCAATCCGCAAACCAAGATTCTAAACGCGATTCCTCCAGCCCCCACACGACAGCTGCGCGCCATCGCTACATACTATGCTTGCAACGCCCGCACGAAATCAAGCTCCTACCGGGATATGACCCCGGGATCGCTGGATTCAAAGTCCAGAGTGCTAACCCATTACCCCATAAGAGCACCTAGCCCAGACACACCACGCCCGATCCGGAACCCGCTCGAATCGCACGCAATCCACGTATTTACGGACATGCCCCCATGTGCTGCACATACCCCTTTCACATATCATCGTGCTCCTACACTTACGTCCATGCTCGCATGCTTCTTTCGCCACCCGGCTTGCTCCAATCCCCGCCATTCGGTTGCTACTCGCTTTGACGTCGCATTTCTTCGTGTTTTGGATATCCACGGGATCTATTGCTCTCGCGGAAGGCAGCGATGAGCCCTCTGGCTGTCTTGGAGAATTGGTATTGAGCGAAGTCGGCAGTTAGGCTTGGTGATCTCTTCCAGAGCAGCAGCTACCACTTAAATCGGCAGCGGATCGCCGGGACACGATAGAACACACCACGGCAACACAGCGTGACGCGGCTATAGCGTGTGGCAGGTGCGCAGCGCAGCAACAACTGGGGCGTTGTGGGGCCGGTAGGAGCGGTGCAAAACGAGGTCCTACCGGGATTTGAACCCGGATCGCTGGATTCAGAGTCCAGAGTGCTAACCATTACACCATAAGACCAGCACTAACTCGCCAATCCGCAAACAGAATTTCAAAACGCGATTCTCCAGCCCCACACGACAGCTGGCGCCATCGCTACATACTATGCTTGCAACGCCGCACAAAATCAAGCTCCTACCGGGATTTGAACCCGGATCGCTGGATTCAAAGTCCAGAGTGCTAACCATTACACCATAAGAGCACCCAGTCCAGACACACCACGCCCGATCCGGAACCCGCTCGAATCGCACGCAATCCACGTATTTACGGACATGCCCCATGTGCTGCACATACCCCTTTCACATATCATCGTGCTCCTACACTTACGTCCACGCTCGCATGCTTCTTTCGCCACCCTGCGTGCTTCAATCCCCACCTCGAACCATCCGGTTGCTACTCGCTTTGACGTCGCATTTCTTCGTGTTTTGGATATCCACTGGATCTATTGTTCTCGCGGAAGGCAGCGATGAGCCCTCTGGCTGTCTTGGAGAATTATTAGTGCAGTCAGCGAAGTCGGCAGTTAGGCTTGGTGGGCTCTGCCAGATCAGCAGCTACCACTTAAATCGGCAGCGGATCGCCGGGACACGATACGGCAACACAGCGTGACGCGGCTATAGCGTGTGGCAGGTGCGTAGCGCAGCAACAACTGGGGCGTTGTGGGGCGGTGCAAAACGAGGTCCTACCGGGATTTGAACCCGGATCGCTGGATTCAGAGTCCAGAGTGCTAACCATTACACCATAAGACCAGCACTAACTCGCCAATCCGCAAACAGAATTTCAAAACGAGATTCTCCAGCCCCACACGACAGCTGGCGCCATCGCTACATACTATGCTTGCAACGCCGCACAAAATCAAGCTCCTACCGGGATTTGAACCCGGATCGCTGGATTCAAAGTCCAGAGTGCTAACCATTACACCATAAGAGCCCCTAGCCCAGACACACCACGCCCGATCGGGAACCCGCTCGAATCGCACGCAATCCACGTATTTACGGACATGCCCCATGTGCTGCACATACCCCTTTCACATATCATCGTGCTCCTACACTTACGTCCATGCTCGCATGCTTCTTTCGCCACCCAGCGTGCTTCAATCCCCACCTCGAACCATCCGGTTGCTACTTGCTTTGACGTCGCATTTCTTCGTGTTTTGGATATCCACGGGATCTATTGTTCTCGCGGAAGGCAGCGATGAGCCCTCTGGCTGTCTTGGAGAATTGGTAGTGAGCGAAGTCGGCGGTTGTGCTTGGTGAGCTCTGCCAGAGCAGCCGCTACCACTGAAATCGGCAGCGGATCGCCGGGACACGATACAACACACCACGGCAACACAGCGTGACGCGGCTATAGCCGCTGGATTCAGAGTCCAGAGTGCTAACCATTACACCATAAGACCAGCACTAACTCGCCAATCCGCAAACAGAATTTCAAACGCGATTCTCCAGCCCCACACGACAGGTGGCGCCATCGCTACATACTATGCTTGCAGCGCCGCACAAAATCAAGCTCCTACCGGGATTTGAGCCCGGATCGCTGGATTCAAAGTCCAGAGTGCTAACCATTACACGCATAAGAGCACCTAGCCCAGACACACCACGCCCGATGAA